CTTTAAAATGGTCAATTTTATGTTAATGTGTATTTCTCTTCAATAAATTATTTTTTTTAAAAAAATTCAAAGGGCGTGATTCATTCAGGATAGCCAAGTTTTGGGTGTAGCCCAGGTTTATTTGCCTCTTTAGACATCAAAATCTTCTTTTTTTAAATTTGTTTTTATTTCAGGATATTATGAGGGTACAAACATTTTGGTTACATTTTATGTCTTTGCCTCACCCTAGCGAGAATTAGAGGCATGTCCTTCCCCTCTACAATGCTCACTGTGCCCATCAGTTGTGAGTTTACCCCCTGCCAACCCCCTAATCCCTGGAGAATATTGCTACCGTGTGATCACCATAGTGTTGATCAAAACTTTCTATTATTAAAAAACAGTAAGATGTAATGGTTTTGTCACCATTGTAATGAAATAATTTATATAAATATTTATGTAGCACTTGCTGCATACCAGGCACTGTTGTTATGCCCTCATATACATTAATCATCATTTAAACCTCATTTAATCATCACAATAGCCATATGAGGTGAGCACTCTTTTTATATCCGTGATTTACAGATGAGGAGAGCAGGATTCAGTGAGGTAAAGTGACTGTGCCAAGGTCACACAGCTAGTAAGTAGTGGAGCTGGAATATGAACCCAAGATACCTTGCTCCAGAGCCCGTGCTCCTAATCACTATAATATACTACTTCTTAATATCTTTTAGCATTGTACGGTAAACTCCACAAGGGCAGGAATTTGAATCCATGCCAGTCCTGGAGAAAATCTGTTAGTTATATGGCAAATGAATGAATGAATGAACCAAAAATGAACAGACTTTATAGCAGTATCTTTGCAGAGACCTTTGTGTTTTATGCTTGGCTCTTACTGGTGTTTCAGAGAGGTGGAATTTGCTATAACTACGGCACTATTCTAGGCACTGCAGGCTATTACCAAATAAATAAGATGAATATAGATGAGTCTGGGACAAGTGAACTATTATAAAATTAGTTCTTATTTAAACTATATGAATTAGGAGGAGCCATGAACTAAAGCAGTTATAAATCTCACTACTTTATAAGGCATTTCCCCCTAATAAAATGGGGATGATGATTTTTAATGCATAAAGTGTTTTATATATGTATTAAAATTGATGACTTAATTTTTAAAGCTAGTTAAGATTCTCATCAAAGATATTAAACACCTACAGAATGGTTCATTTTATGATGGCTTTATGGCCAAAGAAAGACGAACAGGGTTACAAAGTCACTCAAACATTCTAATAATACATGAACTCATACTTACTAGGAGCAAAACACCAAAAAAAAAAAAAAAATCCACCATCTGGTTGTTCTTGGATGCTACATGAGCAAATCTGTCAGCTTTTTCATAGCCTTCTCCTTCATGTACCATTTTGCCATTCTGAACTGACCATTCCAGCCAACATTATGTGCTGTCATATTTGTTAGCAAAAGCAGTTTAGATTTTGCTTTGTCATTATCTAGATGTTAATCAGGCAGTCTGTATGTTTCCATACACAGTCCCTTCCAGAAGATAGAAATTGTCTGAAAGAGCAAGGCAGACAGGCCCTGGTCCCTTAGTATCTGATTGTCAGCTTGATTTGCTATTTGTCATCTTGGGAGAAAGCTGTGACATACAAATAAAATGTGCATGGAGTACTTTTCAGGATATAGCTGAACAAAGCATAACCAAAGAAAAAAAGGAAGATATAGCAGCTGCATTTAATCTAGTCCAAGCTGTTATTAAGGGGCTTTTGTCCATGACCATTTACTGAGCTTCCCCTTTGAACCAGGTGCTGTCCTAAATATTATCATTGGGATTCTCACTGGGGTTCTCCCACCATTCTCTCCCAGCTAGCAACCCTTTAGCAGAACTTTCTTTCAATTCCCAGAATACACTGAAGTCCTTTTGCTTTTACAATCTTCAATGCTCTGTTCCCTCCACCTCAATGGTCAGTCCCACTCCCATATCATAGTCTACTTTCTACTTATCTTTTATGACTCAGCTTAAATATCTCTTTATCAGACAAGACTTTTCATGACACCCTATGCTGTTAGATTACCCCATTATGCTCTTTCATCACCTTGAACTTTTCCTTCAGAGCACTTAACAAAATTATAATTATTTATGATTTGATTTGTTTCATAGTCTCTGCTAGATGTAAGTTTCAAGAAGGCAAGGACACGGTCGCTCTGGCTCACCACTAGATTCCCAGCCATTAGACAAGTGCCTGGCATGTAGTGGAGTCTCGATAAATGTCTGCTGAATGACGGAATGAGTAAATGAATGAAGGCAGACCATGCTCTCTATGAACAATTCAGCACTATTTAATTTTTATGTAAGGTCTATGCTATTTTCAGACTTAACCCTTATTTTTAAATCAACCTGTAAATGCTAAATAAAATAAAATAAATTGACATAGTAATTGGACATGGAGAAGGGGTGGTTAGTGGTAAGGCAGGTGGTAGGGAGATAAGTTAACTTCCATTTAGTGCTATAGAATATCCAGCTACCAGGTAACAGATGGTCCTAAAGCACCTTCTTTAGTTTGGTTTCATAAAAATGAGACTAAAGCCCCTTTCCAAGTTTTCCTCCAGGAAGTCTCAGAGAAAGTTTGAGTGCTCGTAGTTGCTAATGGGCTTAATGATTAGTCTTTATTTTAAATAATCAACTAATAGGGTCTTTTTATTTCTCCTTCTGTTGCAGGTTTTATACTGCCCACAGTTTCACTCAAAGAATAATCCAATAAATAGTGAGACAGTTCTGGGTGCAAAGGAAGAGTAGATATATAGAAAAGAAAGATGACACAGAGGGGATTTGAGCCTTTTAATGTGAAATCTGATCTGCATGTCAACCATGTTCCTGTAAGATTCAGATTGGACTTTCGTAATAGTCTCTGCCTTGTTCTGTCTTCCGTAAAAACTTACAGATTTATGGTTACCAGAGATTTGCTATCTGTCTCTTATTACTTGGAAACTCAGGTTTTGTGTTGATACATTTCAAACTTTTTATGCCATTGTATCCTGTACTAATCACATAATCTCTATAAGCTAAAAGTTTCATGATCCTCTTTATAGGATTCAGGGTACAGCATTTTATTAATATTTCAGTTTCTTGTTGACTTCCAGAATTCTCTTTGTCTTTTAATATAAAATCTTAGTTTATCAAGATTGTCATTGATGTGGAAATTATCTTTCTCTACCTCAGAGGAGTTTGTAATGATATGTCAACTATCTATCTGGAGTTTAGTTATTTTTTTTCCAAATGTTTACTATCTTGAGAGTTCATTTACTCAATTACTTTATATTGATTTTCTAAAGATCGATGAAAAATAAAGAATGGATAAAGAATACCTGAAAACTAAAATTTGTAAATCTACAGCATTTTTAATGAATGGGGAATTAGGACACTTAGAAACCATTACCTTGCTAATGAGTATTTAAGTTTTTATTAAATGATTCATTTTCCTTTTTCAGATTAGGACATTAGGATCCAATTAGGAAAATGCCATGGCTAGGGCACACAGAAACCTCTTCAAACGTCATTTGCCTTTATTAACTTGGTGAGAATTTATACTTACCTAAGGATGGTTTTTGAGGCATGATTGGTTGAATTTTTCTTACTATTCAGAGTCACAAATAAACACACAAATATTTTTCCCCACTGGATTCTAAAAATAGAAACTGTACTCATAAAAATCCAACATATATAGAAGTTATGGTGAAGAATAAAATTAAAACTACGCTTAAGCTAACCACCTAAAGTTATTTTACATTTTGGTATATTTCCTCCCAGTCTTTTTGCCACTCATACCATGTTATATATTTATTTTCTACAGTTCAGATAGAGTTTTTGGTATCTATTATTTCCATTTAACTTCTTATCTTGAACTTTTCCCATATCATTAAGACACCTTCATAAATACAATTTCTTGTGGTTCTTTACCATGCCATCCCATGAAACACTATAACGTGTTTAACACTCCTCAAGTGCTGGAAATTTAAGTTGTTTATTAAGAAATTATAAAACCTATTTACATAGATCTTTGAGTTTCTAATTTTTTTTTACTTTAGAATAGATTCGTAAAATGAAATTACTGAGTAAATTGGTATGAACATTTTAAGGCTTTGATATATACAGTAAAATTGCTTTCCAGGATATTAATACTAATTGATATTTCTACTTGCTACAAATGACAAGGCTTAATATATTTACCATAAAAGAGGTCATACCAAAAAATAGGAAAAAATGCACTATTAGTAAAATGTCTTAAGAACAAGAACAAAAAATGTACTAAAACAAAATTAAAATATCACCATAAAATATAAAATATCACTATATCAAATTCACTATGTGAATGAAATTAAAATACTATTGTAATTTTAATAAACTATCTTTTCTTTGAAAGTATTGAAAGGTAGGATTTTAACAGAACAAGCTGGATAAAGGGTATATAGGAAACTATACTTTTTTAAACTTTTTTGTAAGTCTAAAATTATTTCAAAATAAAAAGTTAAGAGGTTAATTCACTCATAAAATGATTGTGGGTACTTAGGTTATTCAATAATGTCATTGTACACATTGATCTCCTATAAATGAGCTGATATACTCCCAGAAATCTTAACAGGAGCATACCCAACTAGTTCTCTCAAGTCACATCTCTAGTATTGAAAAGCAAATATAAAATGTTTCCAATGAATGCTTTCATTTATTGCATAGTTCTCTGAATGCACTCCATATGTTATATGCTTCATCTCATTTAATTCTTTCTACAAGTCTAGGAAGTAAGCAGTAAAATTACCATGCTCATTTTACAGATAAGAAAACCAAGGCTCAAATGTTGAATAATTCATCCAAAGTCATACTCTAAAATCTTTTCCTTTAATTGATTTCATTTATAAAATATGTCCATTTGACAGAAATGGCTTACATTTTGAGAATGAATGTTTGTCTTTATTTTCAGCTGTACGTGGTGTTCCCTTTCCAACAGATGAACCTATAGACATTATTCCCAGAAGCTGTCAACTAACAACAGATGTTCCACACGTCACGCAACTGCTAAACATGACTAAACTCCGCCAAACTGAAATAAAATTTGGAGGTCATACTCTAAGTTCAGCAGAATCAGGTATGCACTCATACACCTAATTTATAAGCATAATATGTCTGCATCTCCTCAATGAAGTGTCACTTCCTCCAAAGAGGGCACTGTACCTCATTCTTGTATATCCCTAGCACTTAACACAGCACTTGCCACATACCAGGTCAGGGGCTACAAACTCAGATCATTACTGAGGCCAGGATGATAATAAATAAAGTGGGCTGGTTGCCTGGAAATTGGACACATAGAAATATTTTCTACTTCAACAGTGAGCCTTACTAGGGGAGGATGAGGCGGAGGTTAAAGAAGCCAGGTGAGGTACCACTTCAGAGAAATGATTCTCCTACTACTAAAGTAGTAGCTTTAACAGCTATGCAAATGATACAATAAATGACAATTAACACTCAGCCCCTGTGAGGGAGCTGTAGGGGTTAGGGGGAAGCACAGCCAGCTAGAAGCTCTCTCTCAGTCCAGAGGAATAGCTGCAATTCAGTTGTAGTCAGTGTTACCTTTTCAAGAATGCAAGCCCAGTCTCACCAGATCTCTCATTTTTCCAAGAGGAGCTGGGTATCCAAATGTTTATGATAAATCTCCCAATTTTAAAGTATTGTCTAAAATTTTTCAAAACCACTCTGTGGGCTACAGAAAATATGCCAGGGCTGCCAGTTTTCTACCTCTGCAATAATCACTGTAGCTATTGACCAAATAAATGAATTGTACATACAAATCAAGAAACTTAATATTGTCTAGATGAATGTTTCTCAACTCCCAACATGTCAGAATCACCTGATACATTTTTTAAATACTTGATATCAAAAAAAAATTTTTTTTTCTCATGTTTATGCTCTACCCCCAGAGATGATGATTTAATTTGCCTGGGATGAGTGTTTTTAAAACTCCTCTGGTGATACTGTTGTGCAGCCAGGGTTGAGAACCACTGGATCACTTAGCCCACAAAGATCGTGTGGTTCAGATGACATTCATAAACATTGAAGTAATTCAGAGGAAAGTAAAATGATAGTTGTCATAATAGGACATTTATGGAGAAAGAAGTTGAAAGTATTCAATACATATTTATGTAAATAAGTATTTATAACAAATTAATAAATGAGGGAGTTTGTGGAAGTGTACGGTGGGGCAGAAGACTGAGCAAAGACTTGGAGACAGCAAAATGTGTGGATAAGTTTTCCTGAGGGATTAGTGAGAGAAATGGGCTGAGGAGGCAGAATGGCCATGTTGGAAGAACATGAGAAGAGTGGGCCTCACGTTCCTAAAGTAGAGGAATGATAACTTCTGTTTTGGGAGGTGGAATTTGACAGGAAGATTTAAGGTGAAGTTTGAAATCAATTGAGACCAGAGATGAAGGAGCACAAGTAAGATGTCTTTGCAGCAATCTAGGCATAGAATGACAAAGGCCTACACAGTGGGCTCTGAAAGTGGAAAACAATGGCCCTGAGAGAAACTATAGGGAAAACTGGCAGGACTTAGTGATTCTCAGATAACAGAGAGGATGAGAGAGTGGTCAGAGTTTGAGGGAGGTCAAAGGAGAAATAGGAGGAAAGAGATAACCATGATGAAAAAATGCAAAAGTGAATTCATTTTACTCTCTGCACTTATCCCGTGTTCATTTATTCTTGGCGAATTTTCTACATGTCAACCTTCATCAGCATTGCATGTCCTAAATTGTATATTTCTAGAGAATTGGGACCTATTTTGTAACCTTTTCAGTATAAACCCTGGCAGAGGACTATGTATAAATAGGCAGTACATTTTTTAACTGCCTATTTATGACATTTCCAAACGTACAGAAGAGTAGAGAGAATGTATGATGAGCAACCCCCCATGTACCCATCACCTGCTTCCACAGTTACCAACTTTAGGCAGAACTTTTTGATAGCAAAAAGGGGCACACATAGTGAGAATTTGCATATTAATTATATACACCATATTTGGACACATAGAGAAAGGTTATATACAATCCATGTTCATTAAAGAGGCCTTAGAAAATATATACATAAAAGGATAAAAATATCTCACAACCTAGATGGCCACTGTAAACACTTTGGGACAAATTCAATCTTAACTGAAGATTCATCACAGAATGAAATGAATGCTATGATTACTTTCAATAACAAATGACTAAGCCATAAAGCATATCCAGTAACTCTTTGCAGTTGTAAATGTTCTTTTTTTCTTCTATCTCTCTAGTTTATGTTTTGAGAAGTATAATTATGCCTTTAAATGAAAGTGAAAGTCTATATCCAGATTTTTTTTCCTCATTTGAGATGTGGGTTGTCTTTTTTCCCAATAAATGCACCACTCCAATACAATTGCTGATTTTCTTCTCTTGATACCTGGGGAGTTATTAATAGAACCATCATGATGGTTTACCAGAATTGCCAGCTTTTAATGTCTCCTTTAACCTGGTGTACTTTAACAGCAATCCTCAAGCTTCCTGCTTTAGGCTACAAGCCATTACGGGCTGACTAAATAATGTGACCATGAGAAGCAGCTAAATAGACCTCCAGTGGAGCCTCCTGCTCCTCTAACAGTGGAAAAGCACTTTTCCTCTGCCCTGTGAGGGGTTCCCAAATGTTTTCATTTCAATGTAGCATAAATTCCATCCCACCCCACCCTCTTTTCCTTTTAATAGAGATTGAACCTGACTAAGCACAGAGAGCTGGGAAACCCCATGAGCTCTATTCCCAGAGTTCTGGAAAGAAGGGAAACTTAGGAACAGGAAAAGCTTGGAAGGTCTCTTTCTGGGCCAGGGCCATGAGGCCATGCTGGGAGGCTCCAAAAGAGCACTTATAGCCAGATACTTTAAGAGTCCTTTTTTTAATTTAAAGTTCAAGGACATTTACAATGTGAAAGATTGAAGGGGAATTTGAATAAATATTAATTCCATCATTAATTAATGTTATAATTAAACAGAAACTTTTTCATAGGCCATATTTGAACCCAACTTACAGAAGAGGATATAAATATATTTTAATATTAATATTGCAAATTCCATGAATGGACTCTCAATGCATAATAGTTAACCTGGGTCATATATACAGAAATTAATAATTCCCGCCTAATAGCATATTTCTTTGCCCTGTGAATCCAAATGATATTTATATTCATTTGTAACCATAAGGTTTATTATTGTTCCTCTTAAGGAAATCTCATTGCACATGTATGGCAGCTAAGATTACATGAACACACATTCTCTGTTGTGGTCCTCTTTCTACAAATACTTTCAATTTCTGATTTTGAAAGTCACATTTGTGACCTTTGACACTTACTATAAGTGATTATAATAATAATTATTGTTCTATGTGTAACATATTTTGTTTGAAAGGTGTAGTTAATGAATAATGCCCAAGGACAGACTTTTTAATCACGGAAAAGCCAGGAGATATTTCTTCATTTGAGCTATTTGTTTTTATGTCTTTCTAAAAAGTGGACTCCCTGTGATGAGATTTGAATTGCATGAGAAAATGTGTGCTCTTATAATTGACTGTGTACTACTCATGTAAATTATGATATTTTATTATAAATGTACATATTGAGAGATCCCAGTGAAGCCTCTAGAGAAAGAAGTAGCTGTTTCCTATGGATGCTTTCTAGCATTTTCACACAAGCCAAAAAGGAAACCTTGAAACTTATAATTGTTTTGCAGTGCAGTTTGTTGAATGTCATATAACTTGATCAAGAGAATTTAATGAAATTAATAAGATGATTGTGTTTCCAAAAAACTACACATTCACACTATTCGCTTTGTCGATTCCCAGTGCATATTAACTAATGACTGTTAGTCTACAGAAGACTGTGGAATCTGATGATCTTATTTTCATTAATTGGACCCCAGTTTAATTGAACCAGAGTATCAGACCTGGTTATTGAAGTTGAGCATTCAGCTACTGATGCCAAGATGCAGTGGTCCACTAAGAACAAATCAAAACTAGTAATTTACTTAAAAATTAGAAGACAGTTTTCCCAAGTGCCTTCCTTCCACAGCAGCAGTCTTACTGGATTTTTACTCCCTTTTAAATGAGAAAAGACTGACAGCTCTAGCTCCTAGCAAAATTGCAAATGGGAAAATTAATGCATCTTAGCAAAAAACATGAAATAATCATCTAACTATCTTTGGCATTGGTGAGATCCTTATTGAAATTTCTTCTTTGGATTCCACATTAAGAAAGCAAGATTCAAATAAAATAACAAAATCTACGGTCAAGTAGAAGAACCTAAAAGGAAAAGGAGTTGGATTCTGATTTCAGAAAAAAACAAGACACTCTTTAATTTCTTCTTTTCTAAATTAGACTTTTGCTTAGCCTTGTTTTAGGATTGTTGGTTTAAAGAGATCCCACAATTTTTAGTTCCAATGTGTAATAATAACTCAAAATAAACTCCATCATCTCCTACATTTGAATTATATATTC